TTTAACTTTGTACATTCAGTTGATAATATAGCACAATGAAAAGTATGATAATTCATATTAAATAAGACAATATATTCTCTTTTTAGTCCCAATGGGAAGGAAGGACTCATCCCATAACAGCAAAAACAGAAGAAAACTAAATGGATCATTACACCAAAAAAGAAGATATATATGATCAAAATTAAATTATACAAATTCCATAAGATTATCAAACCTGTAAAGAAACTTGGCAGGACTATATGGCGTGCGTTCACCCGAAAAAACAGCCGAAAAAACAACATCCACATCACATGGCAAACACAATTGATTTTGATCCAAAGTGCTTCTTTTTCTGCAGATCTCATGGTTATGTCTATCACTAAGAAAATAGTCCCTCAAAGGCGGGGCGTGAACCAATGCTTGCAAAACGGAGTTCATAAAACAAGTATTTCCTAGATTGTTCAATCCTCTCAATCCCAATGGCACACATGATTTGGACCTTTGTTTTCTCCTAAAAACAAGCCTTTTCACACTTTTCAGACCCGAATCACCCGCAAAATCCAATCTTTTCCTCTTGCTAGCCCTTAACGTTATGTTCTTACACACCACAGTCTTATCAAAATCAGGATCGTACACTTGATCACAGCAAGCACAGCAATAAAGCTCAGCCCTTTCAATGTCTACAAGAATTTCATGGCTGACAAAAGATCTACCATGTAAAAAGGCATGATTTGATTCAGGGTTTTTACAGCAAGTGACTGATGAACAGATCAAGCACATAAACAATCTGCCTTGGTGCCCAGAGCAAAAGCTGCATCTGGGCATCTCAGATTTGGGGTTATAAATCAGTGTTCTTCCATATGGGCTGCAATTAAACAAATCTTGGATCAGATTATAGTTCTGCAAGCCATTTTTAAGCTTAAAATCCAGCAGATGCTTGCATGGCTTAGGGATTGTGTGGGGATGATTTGCTGACATATCAATGAAAACGCAATCCGTACTAGCAGAAAAAATAAAATAAATCAAGAACTCAATATAATCGGATTATATTATTGGAACAAATCAAATAAATCAAAGAATGGTGAAAAAGTAAAACAATCAATCAACACCGGTATGCAAAAATAAGGACGGGTTGATCTGATTAATTGTTAACAGCATAAAATAAAATAAAGCACATATTATGCTAACTGTGAATTTCTCTTTATTTTGATAAAAAAATATAAAAAAAAATAATCAAAAGGTGATGAAAATATAATGGAAATGAACAGAGCCTCAGTGGCGGAAGAAAGAAAAGAGGTGGAGGCGCTTTGTTGTTGTTCATCAGAGACCGACTCATATTTTCTGATGTGGGACTCCACATGTTCCCTTACTTTGGGGATTAGATCTCAGCCGTTGAAAAAAGCTTGATCGACGGATCGTGTGCCACTAGGAATTGATAATGCATGCCCATACCGAGTTGGACTTGAGTGGAATTTTTTGCCTTTTGTTTCTTTTTTTTTTATTGTTATGTTATCCCTTTGCTTTAATCTTTATTTTTTATTCAATTGGATGAGCACACATGAGAAATCTATTTGATGTTAGTGTGAAATATTAATAATAAAGTTATAAATAAAGGCATTTTAATCATAAAATTATATAAAAGTATTAAGAGAAAAATTATTGTCCAAAGTCTAACAAAATAAATTCCAATATGTAAACCGGTAGATTATTAAACAATATTGTTCAATCTCAATCTATAAATACCAAGTCAGATTTTTATCAAATTATGTGTAAAGTTATGATATTTCTTAATCATACATTTTTGTGTTTCGAACTAGTTCATCTAGAGTTGAATTTATAATAATGCAGAACTTTAAATTATTAAATAATTAATTATTTTAAAATATAAATATTATTATAAATGTTATTATTTTTCTGATGAATTTCAGTGTGATATTCATATTTTGGATATATCTAAAAATATATATATATATATATTTTTACTCTATGATAAGAAATAAACTATCTATCAATATTAATCAATAAATTACGAAACTATTTATCAGTTAAATAAATGTCTATGGAGTCATTTATTATTATGAATTAGAATTATTATAATTTTAAAATAGTAAGGTGTAGAATGGAATTTTAAATATAAATAGCAATTTTATTTTAATTAAAACTTTAAACATTTAATTTTTATTTTTTCAATTTTAGTTTTTGTTAGTTTTCGTCGACAAAACCTAGCTCCTTCTCCTCAAAGATCCTCCTCCGCAAGCCACCATCTTCCGCCCTGTCTCCACCGTAGCCACCATGTTTTCCTCCTTTTCACATTAGATTTTTCCAGCACCTCCCTAGCTTCCGGCCATCAGCTATACCTAGAAAAAGATCGATTCTCATTTTCTCTTTCATCTCTCATGCAATCGTTTTCCGTAATTTCAAACGGAGTCCATGTCTAACCTCTTTTCATGTTTCTTCGGTTTTTCCTTAGCAATGTTGATCCTCCGCAGGTTCAAAGCCTCCCATTATCACGCTGTAAGTTCATTACGCTTCGTTTCTTCTTCGTGCTATGTATTGTCAGGAAAGGTTTTGACTTGGGCGGCAGCTCAAATTCTGCGATCCCACTGCTCGTTTTCGACGGATTATAGTTTTTGCAATTTTTACGGGTTTTTCAATCGGGAGACGATTACGAAAATTGTGAAAGAGGAGAGATGGAATGATTTTCGACTGTTGAGGTTATTTGAATCGGAATTAGCCCCTCTGTGGGTTTCCAAAATATTGGTGGAGCTTAGGCAAGATCCTGCATTGGCTTTGAAAATGTTCAGGTGGGCCGAACAGCAAAACGGGTTTCGGCACACGACAGAGAACTTCTGTGTGATTGCTCACATTTTGTTCTGTTCTAGAATGTACCGGGATGCCCACAATGTTCTCAGACAACTGGTTACTCTTCACAACAATAGTGAAAGTGACAACAAAATGTATTCTTGTTCTCTTATCTTGGATGCTCTGTGGTCGACCAGGAATGTTTGCTTTCCTAGTTACGGTGTGTTTGACGAGTTATTTAGCGTATATGTCGAGCTGGGCTTGCTAGAGGAAGCTAGGGAGTGTTTCTTGAGGATGAGAAAGTTTAGAGTTGTTCCGAGAGTGTGGTCTTGCAATATTCTTCTGCATAAGTTTTCAAAATCAGAAAACGGTGTTTCGGCAAAAAAGTTCTTTAGTGATATGGTTGGGGCTGGGGTAAGCCCCTCTGTTTATACGTACAATATTTTGATTGGTATTTTGTGCAGAGAGAGAGATTTAAAAGACGCGAGAAGCTTGTTTGGTACAATGAAGGAATTAGGCATAACCCCTGATGTCATCACTTATAATTCGCTTATAGATGGTTATGGAAAAATCGGTGAATTGTTTGAGGCTGTTTCTATATACGAGGAGATGAAAACGGCAGGTTGTTCTCCCGACATAATTACGTATAACACATTGATTAACTGCTTCTGTAAACACGAGAATTTGCCAAAGGCTTTTGAATTCCTTAGGGAGATGAAGGAACACTGTATCAGACCAAATGTTGTAACTTACAGCACGTTCATAGATTCTTTTTGCAAAGAAGGAATGTTGGATCAGGCTATTAAATTTTTTGTGGACATGAGGCGGGTAGGCCTCACTCCTAATGAATATACCTATACTTCTCTTATGGATGCTAGTTTTAAAGCAGGAAATACTGATAATGCCCTTAAGTTTGTGAGGGAAATGCTAGAAGCTGCTATAAGGTTAAATATTGTTACTTATACGGCTTTGATTGACGGTTTATGTGAAGGCGGGAGGATAAAGGAGGCTGAGGAGGTTTTCGAGGCCATGCTTAAAGAAGGGGCTGTGCCTAATGAGAAAATGTACACAGCTCTCATGCATGGATACATTAAAGCCGAAAGAATAGACGATGCTCTGAGGATTATGGGAAAAATGAAAGGAAATAACATTGAGCCCGATATAGTTTTCTATGGGAATTTAATTTGGGGGCTTTGTAATGCGGGAAGATTTGAAGACGTGAGTTCATTGTTGAACGAAATGAAGGAACGCGAATTAGAGGTTAGTGAAGTAATATACACAACGCTTATAGATTCCTATTTCAAGGCAGGAAAAGTCGTGGAGGCACAAAATCTGCTCGGTGAAATGCAGGAAAAAGGCGTGAGCCTCACAACCGTAACTTACAGCTCATTGATCAACAGTATATGCAGATTGGGACGTGTCGATGAGGCAATCGATTATTTTAATCACATGAAAAGTTGTGATTTACAGCCTAATGTTATTGTTTACACGTCGTTAGTTCACGGGCTGTGCAAAAACGAGCGCGTAGAGGATGCTAAGAAGTTTTTCTCGGAAATGATCGAAATAGGCTTGATCCCAGATGTAATTGCTTACACGCCGTTAATTATGGGGATTATTAAGCAGGGAGATTTTCGGGAGGCTTTTGATCTTGTAAAAAGAATGACTGAGGGTGGGGTGGGGATCGATCTTCACGTTTACACGTGTTTGATTTTCGAGCTCTCCAAATCCGGTCGAGTTCACGAAGCAAGGGATTTGCTATCGGAGATGATCGAAAGAGGAATCGAGCCAGATGAAGTTGTTTATGGCCATCTCATTTGTAAGTATCACGAGCTTGGGAAAACTGAAGAAGCCGATGCCTTGTTGAATGAGATGACAGAGAGGGGTCTCGGCTCTATTAAAACTGAACTGCTGGCTGATGATTTAAAGACCTGAATTTGGGATTGAAATTCTTTGATTCCATTGATCAGTTGGGCCGCGAGAAGTTGAGACTGGGAATTGGCTCGATTTCCAGATTGCTGTGAGTGATAAGAGTGGTAAGCATTTTTGTTTTTTTTCAAGTCCCATTATATATCCCTCCTCAAGTCTCTTGTTCGAATTCTAGGTCACTTGAATTTTTTTTTTTTTTTTTNGATTTTGTATTTATATTTATACCTTGAAGAGAATATCATAATCTTTGCTTTCGAAAAAAAAAATAAAAAAATACGGAAACTGTACTGGGATTTGCACCTATTATGAGACTGAATTGTACTTCAAGCAACTATAGAGCATCCTTTGTGTTGTGTTAGCTCTTCCACTTGTCATTATATTTCGGGGTCTCTTTATGAGTTTGCCGAGAGGCCATATTAGTGTTGTGAGTAATATGTAGCGGTTATATTCGAGTATTAAGGATAAACCCATAATGTCCATTTTCGTTATTAAAAAGAAAAAATAGAAAAAGCTCTCTCTCTCTCTCTCTCATCACGCACACATGTACACACTTACTGATGTCGTTCCTCTTTCATAGTATCATATGAAGAAATTCCAGAAGAAACATCACCAAAACTCTGATGGTCTCATCAAGTGCTGCATGGGAAAACTCAAGCAACTACAATTGTTGGTGAGTATGTGCTTCTCTTAATTTTTGGGTCACTGCACCACTTTATTTCCTGCTTAGCTACTTTTGCACTATCAAGATTAGCTTTCTAATAATGTTGTCTGCAAGAAGGCTTGGTTTAGACTAAGTTGTTATTGCTAATACTTATATTTTCTTTCTAGTGAACAAAGGCTAATTGTGATTTATTGTTGTGTGTGTGTTTGTTTCGAATTTTATTGGAACTACACATTTGCATAGTTAAACGTGATTCCTAGAGTTCATCGTTTATCTTCTGTATTGCAGCTTCTCATGATTTGCCCGAGACTCGTGGGGCTCGTTAGACCCTTTGTTGTCTAGCTCAGCCTAGCCTTAGAGCCTTAATGGCTCAATAGTCATTCGCCGATTGAATGATGATGATGTCGTGTGTCGAGTAGAAATCAACTACAACTGTGCAAGCCATGGAATGGAACATGCACTATACTGCTTTTGGCTCTAAGCTATGTTGAGAGTACAGAAAGTTTCACAATAATGTGTAATACCTCATTTTTTATCATAATCTGACTGCTAATTCATGAAAGGATTTACGTTACCGTTGTTTTATAGATTAGAAGACAGTATTTTTACATGAACAAGACAACATCAAATCACAAAAATTACATTAGAAAATGATCAAAATCACTTCTCAATTCTCAAATTGAACAAAAAAGCAAAAGGATATGAGAACTACAACTACAAGCATCTT